TACCTACGAGTATCGCATCTGCATGCAAACTGCACCCTTCTACTAAACGCACTGCCAATATGCTTATATGAAACCAATTTCAATGTCTCCTCACTTAAGTTTGAAGACATCCATAAAGAGTAAACGATTTATATATAAGAAAAATCACCCCCATAATGCGAGGCAAATGGTCCTAATAAGAACAATACATGTCAAATGGCTCGAAAAGGAACCCCCTCCAAAAATTTGAGTATTTTCCAAAAAATTAAAATCGTCATCTCACCACCTTTTAACCTATTCTACCACTACCACCATCTACTGTCGATGGACATTAAGTAATAGACAGGAAACACAACAAAATCACTGGATGAAGTGCAGGCATCGTATTATGTCTTGGAAACCTTTAAGGCAACAAGAACTCCTCATTCAATTGCAAATCATCTTTTCACCTGGTACGCACTATTGATTATCATATAGATGTGCATAACAGAATAGCACAGATGAACAGAGGTGCATAACAGAGATGAACAGAGATGAGCACAAAGATCATAATAGAGATGAACAGAGATGAGCACAGAGATCATAACAGAGATGAGCATAACATAACACTTGAACATGCACACCAGAGTTTACAAGATCATACAAATAGATACAAAGATCTTCCAAGCATAAAAGAAAATTACAGTGGAAAACAGAAGCAAGGAAGAAAACAAGGCAGGAAATAAAGAAGTAAAGCACACCAAAGAGAACTAAGGCTGAGAGGCACTAGAAGCACTCTGAGCATTACAAATGCCTGAAGGGGGTATTTATAAGCCCCGGACATGAAAGGTGGATTCCAAAAAAAATAAAAAAGTACAGCTGGCCTGGATAGGTGGCCTTATCTACAGTGAAAAGGTGATCTACAGTGGTCGGTGGCCGACAAACAGTGCCAAGTGTTTCGACATGAACAGTGAAAAACTGATGAACAGTGCCAGGTGTCCCAACATGAACAGTGAAAAGCTGATGAATAGTGCCAAGTGTCCCGACATGAACAGTGCTTGTCGACGAAATAGGGAGCTACAGTGCCTGTAGACAAAATAGTGAGTTACAGTGCCTGCCGACAAAATAGTGAGCTACAGTGCCTGCTGATAAAATAGTGAGTTACAGTGTGGCCTCAGTTTGGTATAGCTTCAAGGATAAGTGCATCTTCATGTGGCTCCAAGGAGGCTATAGGAAGAATAAGTGCGGCTTCAATCTTCAGATAAAAGTGTAGCCTCAGTCTGTGTCCGGATAGAGGTCATAAGGGTATCCATCAGAATCATAACTTGATGATGAAGGAGGGCTATGGGATGGTCCAGTATAGGTGTCATCACTTGAACTGTCTTCTGGTTCTTCAGGTAGAGGATGATCTGCAAGCCATAGATGAAGCTGATGTAGCAAAGCTACTCCTCTGGGTGTTTCATCGGTCCAAACAGTATTTCCTATATAAACATCCACAAGAATCCATTATGGTTAGATTATGTTAACATAACACGTGATGATCTTTAATTCTTTCCATAAATCAGTTTGAAATAGCCAAAAACTTAGAAGATTAGAATCATACCATCCAATGGTTTGAATAATGGGATGTTGGATAATGTGAGTATGATCAGAATAAACCTGGGGATTAAGATCTTGGTGGAAGGCCATAATGATATAAGGTTTATGTGGGTATCCAAAAGATTCAAACCATTGGTTATAATGGTAATGTTTTATAAGAAATTTATAGAAGTTTAAAGCTCTAGGATTGGGATGTTGGTAATTATTCCATTGTAGGAAATGACAATGTCTAAGATAGGATAAGAGTTTTCTTACATGGAAGATGAAACATATATGGTGATTTTGGGTAAGATACCAAAGAAAGCAAATAACTTCTTTTGGCATATTATAATAGTGTCTGGTCTGAAAGAGAGATAAGAATGGGTTAGTTGGATGGCATTGAATTCCTTGAATACAATCTCCATGGTTTCTATGTACTATTTCATGCATTTTCTGTTGCATTTGTTCATTCCTTGGATCCATAGTTTTCTTGAGGTTTACTTCATAAATTTCATCAGGGAGAAGCTGTTGGTATGAAAACTTTTTCCTTGAAAACATGACTGCTAAAACATTGTTTTTCCTAGAGATGTGTTTGTATTCAAAATTCCATTGGGAAAACCAATTTGACCATCTCAGTAACTGAGGATTCAGAAGTATTTTATTTTTGAATTTCAACATGTTGGGGAAAGCAAACAAATCCATTTCTACAAGAAAATTGTGTCCAATAAGATAAAATTGGAACTTTTCAATTCCTCGTTTGACAGCAAGTATTTATTTGAAAGTAGAATAATAATGCATTTCTGACTCTTTAAATTTTCCACTTTTATAGCCACAAATCATTCTGTCTTTTTCAATCTGCTCAAGTAAAATGCATGCCTAAAATTCATCTGATACGTCAGTTTGCAAAACTCTTTTTCCATTGGAAGGTATTTTCAAAGAAGGTAAATTACGAGATAATCTTTTAAGCTCCTGAACACACTCAATATGTTTTTGTTTCCATGGTGGTGCTTTTTTCTTTAACAGAAGATAAAGGGGACTCGTAAACAAAGAAAGCTTAGGGATAAAAGGGGACATGTAATTTACAATGCCTAGGAATTGTTGGATTTGGTTTACAGAGGTCAAAGTATCAGGAAAATCTAAAAGGTGCTTAGCTATATGGGGTTGTAATCTGTACATACCATTATGGAAATGCATTCCAAGAAAATCTATTTCAGTCGTAGCAAAGACACTTTTTTTCAGAGAGCATGATACTATTTACTGCAGAGAGAATGGAACTTATCTAATAGATTGACATGACTATCGAGATCAGGAGAGAATAGGAGAATGTCATCTATATATATCAAAGCTTGTGCTGAGATTGGTTCAAAAATAGTGGTTAAAACTTTTTGAAAATAAGTGGGTGCATTTTTCAAACCAAAGGGCATTACAGTCCATTGAAAATGGTAATTGGGAAGACAAAAGGCTGTTTTAGGTCTGTCGTCTGGGTGTATGCCTATCTGCCAAAATTCTGACTTTAAATCAAAATTTGAAAATATATGAGCGTGAGATATCTGAGAAAATAAGGCAATCTGGTTAGGCAAAGGAAACTTATCATCTGCAAAAAAAGCATTCAATGGTTGTTAGTTGATGACTAATCTAAGTTTGTTCTGCTCTTTTATTAACATAAAAGGCTTCAGATGCCCAGGGAGAACTTGTTGATTCAATCAATCCTTCCTTGATCAGATCATGAATTTCTTGCTTGGCTTGTTCAAACAAATCAGGATTTAACCCTCTGTGGGAGGCTTTGGTAGGGTTGATGTCTTCATTCTTTTTGAAAGGGAGTTTAACATAAAAGTTTTGGTTTCTCCAAAGTGGATTGGTGCATTTCTTAAGGAATTCTGAATGGGAATTTGCACAACAGTCAGATATGATCTTTTGTCTCACTGTTTCTAAGGTTTGGGTTTTGTCTAGACTAGCAATCCAAGGTAAGGTCATGTTTCTAAAATGAAGGCCTTTGGAGGTCCACAAAGTTTTACTTGGTGTAAAACATCAAATCCTAATAGGAGGTCTTTATTAGGTAAATAGGATCCTAAAAGTTTATGTTGGATGACAACTTTTGGGAATAATTTGGGTAATGGTAAATTTTTTACCGTTAGCAGCTCAAAAAGTTTGATTGCAAGTTTCCCAAAATTGTTTTGGTAGTAAATCAGGTTTAAGAATGCTAGTAGATGCACCAGTATAAAAAAAGGCTTGGATTTTCAAAGGTTTGGAATAATGTTCATGGAGAATTTAGACAAGGGCTATTGGGGTACGTTGAAAAGGTATTATGTGGATTTCAGGGACTTTAGGTTGTGGAGACAGTATCTTAAGAGTGTCTGTATTGCTTATCTCATTGAGTTCAAAATCATCTTTGTATGACATCGATATCAATGTTTCATCATTCTGCTCATCATCAAGAGAGAATACTGACTCTAAATCATCTTCAATGTCTTCGTCCAAGACTTGGGATAAAAGACTAATGATTTTCTTTTTTTTTTCTGGTTCTGACAATCTTTCGCAAAATGTCCTTTTTTTCCACAGACATAACAACGATCTCCTTTTTACCTATTTTTTTGAAATCTGGATCTGCGAAGATATATAAACCTCTTACATTTCTTCTTTTGTCTCTTTTGCTCAGACTTCTTCTTTTTTCCAAAGGGTTTTCCATGGGGAGGACAAACACATTGGTTTTCTGCTTCACATTTGATCTTCAAGTGAGGCTTATCACAAGAATTGCCTAGGAGATGCTTATTCCTTTTCATCTGCTTCACAAATTCGACTTGGTTACATAACCTTTCTAAAGCATGAAGTACAAACTGATAAATCTCACCAAAACTGACATTCTGAATTGTGAGACCTTGGTTTTCCATTGTTTTTGTTGCTTCCTTACCAAGGGTAGGAGGAATAGACTCAAGATAGAATTGTTTTAAGTTCATATCATCAATACCTCCAATTTTATGATATTGTTTATTCATTTCCGAAAAGTGCTTTTCAAGGTCTTGTCTTTTGAATGAACAACATTTGAGTTTAAAGAATTCTTCTCGTGCAGTAATTTTCTCATGTTTAACAGGACCTGTACATTGAGATACCAAATAATTAAGGAATTCAACAATTGACTCACAATTTCTTAACTGAGTTTGACGTTATTTTCCAAGGTTTATGTACCAATTAAACAATCTTCCTTGCAGTCTTACAATGACTTTGCTAATGGTGCTTGTCAAAGTATTAGCAGGATTAAGCATTTCTGCATGCATCCATCCTTGCATTTCTCGAAATCTATCATTCCTTTTTGAAGGTGGAATATCATCAAGAGTGAATCCTTTAGATGAATCTCCATAGGAAGGGTGAGGTTCTGGTTGTAATGGTGGTCTGACGTCTTCATCAATTATGGGATCAGGGTCAGGGTCCATAGGTTCATTTAACAACAAAGGGTCATGAGAAGAGGAAGTGGAGGAGTTGTGGCTAGAGGTTTCAGAGAAATCTGTTATAGAATCAGAAGATTGGGTTTCTGTGTGGAGGTTCAACTCTGGTTGTTTGGTCAAATTCTTTAAAAAGGTACTCATATCTTGCAAGGGTTCAGGAGAGGTTAAACTCTGTGGCGAAACTGAGGAAGCTACTACATCTGAATCAGTGTCAGATGCTTGGAACATTTGGGTTTCTCTTTTTTGGGGAAAAGGTGAGGAAGGTTGAACAGGAGGTTCGGGAATAGGTTGTGTAGTGGTTGGAGGAGTAGTTACTGGAGTTTGAGGTATTGGGATTTGAGATGAACTGGGTTGGGAAATATTTGGTTTTTTCCTTAATTGAGGAAAGAACATTCTTTCAAATAAACGTCTTTCTTCTTCAAAAGAGCTGAAAGACCTGAAACCAAAATTTCTAGCTGGGATTAAACCAGTAGGAGGGTATAAAGTTCTTGTAGGAGGAAAAGGATCAGGGTTTTTTAAGGTGGGATAGTTCGGAACATAGGGGCTTGAATAAAATGGTCTGAACTGGGACTGGCATGGAGACTGAGACTGAGACTTCATCTAAAGATCTCTTTCACGACTATGAAGTTGTTTCTCTAAAAATGCTTTCTCTTTTCCTTTCTGATCAAGCAAATAAGACTGCTAATAAATATCTTTCACTGAATGTAAAAGCTAAATTAATTCCTCATGCAACATTTGAATCCTTTCCTTTAATTGCATAATTATACTAGTCAAACCCTATAATTGAGAAGACATATGAGTCTGTTGTTCCTCAATCCGAAGTAATGCTAAGTTATGAGACTTTGCATTTTCAGCTTTCCAGTTAAGGCTTGCTTCAGCAGGGGAGACTATCCTTAAATTACCAGAAGAATCCCTGGTATTTGGGTTTTTAATCTTCCATACATGCCTTTCATTATCTTGAATTTTTTCATAATCATGTAATGAAGGAAAATTACTAGCATAATTAGAACTTTGAGGATCAAACATCAAACATTCAGCGACTTGACTTTGTTTACTAGCATCAACCTGGTCATCCCAATCAGGAGGGATGATTTCACAAGGTTTAAAAGTTTCAGAAGGTTTCTGTTTTTTACTGCTATAGGTGACATAATAATCCCACTTGCCTGAACTTTCACCAAGGAGTCCAACTGTTGGATCTCCATCAAGAAATCTTTCATGAAGCTTTTGCTGAGAAGATTTTTTCTTTTTATGTTTCTGTTTTTTCTTTTTATCAAAATCTTCTTCAGTCTGAAGACATGTTGAACTGTTGCAACAATCAAACGAATTGTTACCATCAGAGGTATTTTGTTCATAAATAGGATTCCCATTTTTATCAAAAGCAACCACTGGAACTTTTTCAAGAAGACCGTGAAACTGTGTAGGGAATATTTCTCTGGTTTGAGTTTGAGAGTCATTATCCTTGGAAGTCTGAAAATTAATTTGAACTGTTCCATCTGACATCCTTGTCATCCAGGATTCAGACTGCATCACAGACTGACATTGGGTTTGTAAAGTTTCATAGTTTGTAACCTAAGCGGATGGAATTAACTCAAACAATCTTTCCCTTGATATCTGTCTCAGGATATAATGGCAAACAGGATGGGAATTAATGTCAACTTTAATAAATAAGGCAGTGTTTTCACATTCAGGGGTAAGGGTGTGACAATATCGAAAGCATGATTCTGAAACCTAGACACCATTTGATAATGGAGTGTAGCTACAGAAGAAGTTTCAATTTGTCTGGTTCCTGTGATCTGGAGTTGAACTTTAAAAGCAAAGCTCAGATGGGGGTCTTTAATGGGGATATTAAAGTTAGGAAAGAAGGTAACAAAAATGGTATCGGCATTTAGAGTAGTTTGGATTGTACCGATGCAAGCATGCTGATATTCTAAAAACCTGATATCTAACAAAGCTATTCTGGTTACTGCTTCCATTCCTTTTCGTCCATGAAAGGTGAGGGCTAGTTTGATGGCTCCAAAATTGATATGGGCCTATCCTTCTTTAAGCCATTGAGGGAAAATGTTTATGGGAAGGGTAATGGTAACATACTGTTCAGCTTGTGCAGCAGGAATGTGGTGTTGGTCAAAAGAAGAGGCTTGAACATATTCTTTAATGGCTTCTAGGTTCTTTTTCTCACAAAGTTTTTTGATTCGTTTAGTCCAATTCAAATTTGATTTATCATAAACATGATAAGGATTGATCAATTGAGAGCGGGTTTCAGAAAACTTTTCAGGGGTGTATGTTATTTCAAAAAGGTGTTCCTGTTTTGAAAACATGAGTCTTAAATCAGCAGAAGAAGAGGAAGAGAGAAAATCTACAGAAGTATCAGAAATACTATCATCTACCATTTTTTGAAAATACTTGCACGGAGTTGACTGTATAAAGATAAAGATAGGTTAAAAATTAATTTTATACTTCATAAACCAGTGGAGTTCATACTTCATAAACCAGAAAGGAAAGTTAATCTTTAACCTGAAATAGATTTTCTTGGTATGCATTTCCATAATGGTATATACAGCTTACAACCCCATATAGCTAAGCATCTTTTAGATTTTCCTAATACTTTGACCTCTGTAAAGCAAATCCAACTATTCTTAGGCAATGTAAATTACATGTCCCCTTTTATTCCTAAGCTTTCTTTGTTTACCAGTCCCTTTTATCTTCTGTTAAAGAAAAAAGCACCACCATGGAAACAAAAACGGACTGAGTGTGTTCAGGAGCTTAAAATATTATCTCGTAATTTACCTTCTTTGAAAATACCTTCCAATGGAAAAAGAGTTTTACAAACTAACGCATTAGATGAATTTTGGGCATGTATTTTACTTGAGCAGAATGGAAAAGACAAAATGATTTGTGGCTATAAAAGTGAAAAATTTAAAGAGTCAGAAATGCATTATCATTCTACTTTCAAAGAAATACTTGCTGTCAAATGAGGAATTGAAAAGTTCCAATTTCATCTTATTGGACACAATTTTCTTGTAGAAATGGATTTGTCTTTCCCCAACATGTTGAAATTCAAAAACAAAATACTTCTGAATCCTCAGTTACTGAGATGGTCAAATTAGTTTTCCCAATGGAATTTTGAATACAAACACATCTCTCTGAAAAACAATGTTTTAGCAGACATGTTTTCAAGGAAAACGTTTTCAGACTAGCGCTTCTCCCTGTAATCCCTTTTTTAGGTGACATCATCAACATTGATGATAATGAACAAGACCTCCCTGATGAAATTTATGAAGTAATCCTTAGGAACACTATGGATTCAAGGAATGAACAAATACAACAGAAAATGCATGAAATAGTACTAAGAAACCATGGAGATTATATTCAAGGAATTCGATGCCATCCAACTTACCCATTCTTATCCCTCTTTCAGACCGGACACTATTATAATATGCCAAAAGAAGTTATTTGCTTTCTTTAGTATCTTACCTAAAATCACCATAGATGTTTCATCTTCCATGTAAGAAAACTCTTATCCTATCTTAGACATTGCCATTTCCTACAATGGAATAATTACCAACATCCCAATCCTCGAGCTTTAAACTTCTATAAATTTCTTATAAAACATTACCATTATAACCAGTGGTTTGAATCTTTTGGATACCCACATAAACCTTATATCATTATAGCGTTCCACCATGATCTTAATCCCTAGGTTTATTCTGAACATACTTACATTTCCCAACATCCCATTATTGAAACCATTGGATGGTATGATTTTAATCTTCTAAGTTTCTGGCTATTTCAAACTGATTTATGGAAATGATTAAAGATCATCATGTGTTATGTTATCAGAATCCAGCCAGAATAGATTCTTGTCGATGTTTATACAGGAAATACTATTTGGATCGATGAAACACCTAGAGGAGCAGCTTTGCTACGTCAGCTTCATCTATGGCTTGCAGATCATCCTCCACTTGAAGAACCAGAAGACAGTTCAAGCGATTACAGCTATACTGGACCATCCCATAGCCCTCCTTCATCATCAAATTATGATTCAGATGGATACCCTAATGACCTCTATCCGGACACAGACTGAGGTTGCACTTTATTTGAAGATTGAAGCTGCACTTTTTCTTCCTGAAGCCTCCTTGAAGCCGCATGAAGCTGCACTTATCCTTGAATCCGTACCAGTCTGAGGCCACATTATAGCTCACTATTTTGTCGGCAGGTACTATTGCTGACTATTTTGTCAGCAGGCACTGTAGCTCACTATTTTGTCGGTAGGCACTGTAGCTCACTATTTTGTCGACGGGCACTGTAGCTCACTATTTCGTCGGTAGGTACTGGTCATCAGCTTTTCACTGTTCATGTCGAGACACTTGACACTGTTCATCAGCTTTCACTGTTCATGTCGGGACACCTGACACTGTTCATCAGCTTTTCACTGTTCATGTCAGGACACCTGGCACTGTTTGTCGGCCACCGACCACTGTAGATCACCTTTTCACTGTAGATAAGGCCACCTGTCCAGGCCAGCTGTACTTTTTTTATTTTTGTTTGGAATCTACCTTTCATGTCCGGGGCTTATAAATACCCGCTTCAGGCATTTGTAATGCTCAGAGTGCTTCTAGAGCCTCTCAGCCTTAGTTCTCTTTAGTGTGCTTTACTTCTTTATTTCCTGCCTTGTTTTCTTCCTTGCTTCTGTTTTCCGTTGTAATTTCTTTTATGCTTGGAAGATCTTTGTTTCTATTTGTATGATCTTGTAAACTCTGATGTGCATATATAAGTGTTATGATCTCTGTGCTCATCTCTGTTATGATCTCTGTGCTCATCTCTGTTCATCTCTGTTATGATCTCTGTTATGCACCTCTGTTCATCTGTGCTATTCTGTTATGCACATCTGTCTTATATGTGACTGGAACTATAAGATCTTAAGTAATAAAAGCACATATAGAAGTACCACAATGATTACAAAAGGCAAAGTTATAAATAAACTACACGATAACAAATATTATTTACTTACCAACTTTTGATATACAGAACAACAATCGTTGCATCCACATCTCCAATATTGTATTGGCAACTAAAGCATATAATTCAGGGACCATTTAACTATTCTATTGACCACCAGAGAACATCATACGAAAGCATTTTACTGCATTTTCAAACCATGTCTCAAAGGTACTACTAGCAAAGTAGTTATACACTTTAAATTCATACCATTACTCACTATGTTCTCCTCGTGGATCCAGCTATACAAGCATAAAAATTTCAATGCAATAAAAATTCTTACAATGCAAAGCAATAAAAAATTCAATGTAAAAATAATTGTTTGCTAATTACACTAGTTATTTCCAATGCAAAGCAGTAAAAATTCTTACCAGTACTCATCATGTTCCACATTATCA